ATTCCTGCTATAGGCATGTGCTGTGTGTGGGATATGTTTACTGGAGACTCTTGTGACTGAAATAGTTACCTGTATATCTTCTTTTCACTCTTTCTCCTCCTCACTAAAGACAGTAGACTTGACTTCTCTGAAACCTCTCACTATGCCCTGTGCTGCTCATATGAGGTCAAAGACATTCGTGGTCCTTCAAATGTAACTTACGGTTTACTTCATTCTTTTATCTTAAACTTCTGCTCTAATCCCTCCCTCCCTTGGTGTATACTATTGTCTGAAAGTCACAGGAATGAGAAGAAGTGAAGACTCATGCAATTCATACAAAGCGTTTATATTTTTCCTCAATAGAGATTTTATTTTAATCCCATTAAATTTTTGTAGGAATGTAACTCGGCTCTTATCTTACAAAGTCATCAATGCATGCTCAAGTTGCCATGCATGTTAACTGCACAATTTAAACAACACAACAGCTGTTTTATGAATCAGATTTATATGAAGCATCATATAAATGTATCCACCCAAATGCTGTGAGTAAACTGACTGCTGGAGTGGACTGAGACCTGCAAAAACAATTCGACAAAGAAACCACTGAACACTGCTCTTGATTTCTGATGATATACTGGGGAGAGGGGGGCAAAAAAAAAACAAAAAAAACCCAACGCAACACATAGCATAGCCTTTTGTCGCGGGAGCATGTATACCTCTATCATTCCTATAATAGTTTCCTGAAAGACTATACTGATAGAAGATCACAGCCTCTCTAAATGATCCATTCCAGTACCTACTGGTAGATAGTTTTTTTCTTAATAGTTCACTTAGCTGAAACATAATCTCAGTACATCTCATCCTGCCCACTACTGCTATCTGAACAAATTACTTCCATCCTCTCTACAACAGTCTTTTATGCATCTCCCCCCCCCACCCCCAATCTTTTCTTTAAATTAAGCAGTCTGTCATAGACCCTGTTGGGCTGACCTCTGATAATTAAAGCACCCTTTGAGAGGTCTGACCATTCAGTTGCTGCCACAGGTGCTCATGGCCAGAAGATCAAGAGAAGCAACATAACAGACTGCTACTCAGCGCTTACATACTATGAGTTAATCAGTTCTGGGAAAGGACAGGAGAAAGGTGGAATGTAAGCTGCTCTGTTTCCTCAATCAAAAGTACCCATTATTTAGGGAAAAAAAAAAAGCTTGATATGATAGACCACATTTCTGTTCAGTAAATGCATTGTGTCACTTTTCTGGAAAAAAAAGCGTCTACTCAGGCAACATTTTTAGGGGTTCCCCTGAAACCACTGCTGCAGGTTGCATACCATGATGTGCTTTGCTTAGCTTCAGTTACAGACCCAAATTGCTGCTACTTTCTGTTTCACACAGACACACAAAAGAAATCCCAACCAACCAAACAAAAACCTTCAGCTTTTCCTCTCAATTTGCAAAAAAGAAACTGTTCGCTAAACAGAAATTCTGCAGCCCAACCAGCATCTGTCAACAGACTAGTCGCTGTTCGGCCTAAAGCTGGGTTCTGCTCCCAACCACCAGTTGACCAACAAATCAAACTTCTTTCTGCCTTACAAGGGCCAGATGCAAGAATTTGCTGAAATTGCCTAGTGGCTACTCAGATATGAAGGATTCTTTTGATTAGTAAAGCATTTGGTAGTGTCACTACCAGCTTGGTTAAAGCATTAAAACAATGGAAAATTTAGAGCCTGCTCCGTTTGGAGCGTTTG